GCAGACACTCTCTGCATGACAGATTGGAAAATATATTGCATGGCAACACCTACCTCACCACCAAGTTTGCGATATGTTGTTGGCACAATTTTAACAAAATATTGGTACATGGACCCAGCTACAAATGATAAAAATATCATATCAATATCATACAAAAATATGATAACAGAAAACAGTGACTGCCACATACCACATGTGGCAAATGTTCCAACGTWAAACGTTTTTCATACTTTCATCAATAAAAAAAAAAAATAGCGCAGCGCAACCGTGACGTCATAAAAACGAAGACAAAGGCGAAATTCGGACAAACAAACTTACATGGGTTATTATTGTAACTTTAAGTAAAAATAATAAAATCGGTTCGTATAATCCTCGTAGCGGTTAAACAGAATGCAATGTTTGTCCGAATCTTAAGGCTATTTTTAGAATCAGTGCGCTGCGCTATTGGGGGCCATCAAGCTTGTTTTGGAGAAAATTCACATGGTATTTTAGCACTAATTTCTTTAGAAACTCGAGAAATTGTAGATCCTACTAATAAAAAACTTTCAATGTTAAACTTTTTTAAAAAACGTGGAAAACGTGTAAAATATTAAGTAGATAAACATAAAAGTTAGTAAAAAGAAAAATGGGGGTCACCAACTTGTAAGAGTTTTGGGAAGTTTTCTTGATATTTGGCWCATGTAATGAATCATATCATTTCAATGAGCACATGCGCCTGAAATAATGCGTAGAAAGCTGGAATGAACAATGCCTTCAAACGTCCTCAAGGTAGCTGAGTTCGAAGTATGTAACTTACATTCTTCTGCTGGGACCAATGTGTTGTCTAATGGGTATTCTTTTCCTGGGTAGTCATGACCAAATGATAAATGATTGATACGATGGGTGAGGTTGAACTACAAGAAAGATAATCCAACAATATAACAAACACCAAGGTAACGGTTTGTTTTTTTCAAAACAAAAAGGAAAACATATTTAGTATAGCATTTCTAAATACAGCCCTAATGCTTGACAGTGAGCTTTAAGCTGATGAAAGTATCTGAATCTCATTATCTGCTCCAAATCCCCGCGGGGGGGGGGGGGGGGTACTCCCACATATGGACTATACGGGGATGATCTGCTGAACAGGGTATGGTTTTTCGAGCTTCTTGTCATAAACAGGGTATGCGATTTCACTCAAGTACCAAGTTCTTCCTGAGTTTCCCATCATATTCATTTTCTACTTTCATATTGACTGAAACTAGTTATTATGGTCGTAAAAAAATAATACGCGAGATGACATGATAATTGAAACAGGAACTCAGTGCAATTAATTATATCTTTTGTCAAAAACAGGGTCTACAAATTTTAGACTTTTTATCATGGACAGGGTACCCCTTTCAGAATCCCAGCGGAACAGCCCTACCCAAATTCTGGCGGAGTACCCCCTCCTCCCAGGTCCAAATCGCTGAATGGTGGTCAAACACTGACAACCATGTGCTGTCAGCCAGAAAGAACCTCATTGCTAGATTTCTGTCAGCTGATAAATATTCTYTGAACCTCATTAAAGTGAATAATAAATAACCTTTGTATATGGAAAGGGGTGAACATGTTCAACTTTAAGCCCGCACAACAATACACATGCTTACCTTAGTTTCTCCAAAAGGCTGCAAATCATGCACTGTTAAATGGTATGGAATACATTGGAAAACAAATTGTTAGAACAAAATAAACTAGACTAGTGAGTAGAACAGTTTGAAGAAGTTTGTCTGAGTGTTTGTGGAGCACAAGACATGGAAACAATTGAGCAGGTGTATATTACATCATTGCCGCCATCTTGGTTGACGATAACAAAGCATTCCTCATTAGCTTCTTTTGTTAGATCAACCAAGATGGAGGCTGTTTCATTGTTATTCATACCTCAAGGGATTTTGAGTCACATGGTTGCACACACTCTATAGAGCATGCGAATGTTACGTCATTGCCGCCATCTTGGTTGACGATAACAAAGCATTCCTCATTAGCTTCTCTAGTTAGATCAACCAACATGGCGACTGTTTCATTGTTATTCATATCTGAAGGGATTTTGAGTCACATAGTTGCACACACTCTATAGTAGTGTCTTGAACACAATTTCTCATGCTCATTAATAATTCATGAGTAAACCAGCCAATCAATGGACTATTTTTGGGTCACATGATGTTACTTGAAACCTGGTAAATTCCTGTGGAAGGCATGCATTCTGTCTGGCTCCAAGTTGAATAATTTGAATGAGCATGAGAAGTCATTTCAAGGCCTCCAATATATTGGACTGGATAGGATTTCAAGTCTGTGCAATTAGTGGAACTAATTGCTTAGACTTGAAATCTCGTCCAGTCCTCATTCTCAGCTTTCAAATATTACGTAATAAATAGGTTTACTAAAGGAAAGGAATGGATAGAAAAGAAAAGAAATGGAATGGAAAGAAAATCTGACCAACTTATAACCTATGATGTTTTTTATGCTCTATTTAGTTTATAATTTATTCATGAGTTTTTTTTGTTTTTTTAATTTTTTACAAGGTTTAAATTTATTGATTTTATCATGCCATAATATTGACTTTTATTAGACAGTATTACAGCTGTGGCACAGCACTTTACTTTATGTCTTTAAAACCCAATG